GACCTGCTGCCGCTCTCACCACCACCACCCGCCAAGCCCCAGCACCCTACCCAAAAAAAGAGGCAATCGCAAATTAAAAAAAAAAAACCTACCATCTACAAGCTCTGACAAACTGGGACAGCTTACAAAAAATGGAAGATCCCAAAAGGAAAGGCCACATCTCTCTAGCGACGAACGGAGGGAGCAGGTTCACCCCCAAGAGACACCCTGTCCCCGGTGCTGAGCGGGGTGGGGAGCCCCTTCCCCTCGCCCCTCTCTCTAGCAGGGTAACACGAGAGGGAGGGATGGCAACAGCGGTAGCTTTCGAGGACGCCGAGGAGTCCGAGCACCTCCAGATGGCAAGGCACGCTGTCCCTCCACCTCCCCGAGCCGCGGCTCTGCGCTCAGGGCACGGCGATGGTGCCAGCGCCTTCCAGAGACAAGCCCGATCTTGGCTCACACCAAGCGTCCCTCAGACACGAAGGCCTGGCCCCAGCAGACTGCAAGCAAGTCTGTAACACCAGAGAGCCCTCCTCCTTCCCATCTGCAGCACGCTGACTTCTCCAAGCGCTAGGACTTTTACTACTGCCGTTGCGCAGTGCACACTCTTTATTTACATGCCACGGCTTTACACCTTTGACTGGGCAGCTCACTGCACCCGAGGTGACAACGCCTGTGACAGCAGAACAGCTGCGGGTCCTCAACCTGCAAAGTTTTTAACTCAGGAAGAATAAGGAACAGCCGAAATAATTTGGGTCACTATCCCTTTTCTGTAAAACCAGGGGAGGGAGAGGGGGACGGACACTGGGTGAGGTAGCTACGGAATGCGCGCTGCCGCTGAATTATTCCTGACAGCACTTCCAGGCAAACCTAAGGCCCGTAAGAAGCCCGAAGTGCAGCTACGCTCTCAGGTTTTACAGTTGAAGACGTTTCAGTGTAGGGTAACTACTTAGAAAACTTTCCAGTCTTTTAAGGTAAAGATTTTTCGTGTCTAAGAAAAACAAGTAGTTAAGAACCATCTGTACATATATCTTTTAAAAACAAGCTCATTCAAGTCACCAGGTAACCCCACAGTTCTCCCAGTTTAAGATACGTTCTTGGTGACCCACCACAACCACCGGCTCCGCACTGGTTATAGCCAGCCCAGTTTCAGGAGCCCCATTTGGGGTTTAAGTTTCCTGGATTATTGGATGTCACGACCACATCTGTCAGTGGGAATTCACATCTGTCCCAAGACTCTCCGACTTTCTGCAAACAAGTGCAATTAAGCGTGGCAGCAAAACTATGTTTTTCTGTCTGCTCATGCCTAGATATGGACTGGAAGTTTCGCAGGAGGTTAACTCCCTGGCTGACATGACACAGTGGCCTAGCTGCTGCTGGCGTAGGACCGGCCTCACGGGGAGCTCGGGAGCTAGCTGATGGGAGGACAAACAGGGGGCCTTCCCACAGCCCTGTCCCACTGCGGCTTCACCTTTGCTGGGTACAAGGGGTATATTTCACCCAGCACTACTGGAAAGGTCTGACAGCGCATCGCCGTTAGCAGCAGTAACTGGCAGACAAAGTATCTCATCTTACTGCCCATAAATGCCCAGCATTCTTCAGCTTAAAGGTAACAAACCATAGGCTGAGAAGCCTTGTCACACCGCAGATGGTTACACTCCACAGTCGGGTTCAAAAGCCAACAAGCTAGTTGCCTTTTATTCCTAACACACTTAGGCAAAGTTTAATCCTTAAAAGGATGCAGCTGGGTGTTCTACCAGAGATGTACCTTTTTTTAATGTTTTATCCCCTTTTTGAACAAGCTATTTATTTTCTGGTTACGTGAAAAACATCTATTTCTTCAGACTCCTCCAGATTTCCATACAGGCAGCCTGCCATTACAGTAGCTAACCAAAGTCAACATGTAGTATTATCATATTATTCTTTTGGCTGTTAAGCAACCATTCTTACACAAAAGCCCAGCATCCTATGCTCCAGCAAGCTAAATTCTGCATGGCTCAGATAACATAAAACAGATCCATTAATGCAATCATTTGGCATCATATCAGTTCAGTTCTCCCATAAAATAATGACGCACCAAAACGCAAAAATACCTGAACAATCAGCCAGTTGCCTATATTCATTGACTTCATCTAGAGAACACAACCGATCTCCCTCATCTTTTCAGTGTATTTTCTGTTGCTTCTGAGAGCTCATCCTCTTGCCAAAGCAACACATTCTACTATTTGTAACCACCAATTACGTCTGTTTATTTTTCCACAACATGCACTCACTAGCTAAAATGTATTTCCCAGTATGTTCACATTAGCTGACAGCACTCCTAAAATTCAGGCTTCACGTCAGTTGATCTTTTCACCAGACTTACAACTGACTCCTGTACCTTTTTCTCAGCACTGCTTTCTCAGAAGTACCACAATAGCACAGCTTACAGTGCCCCGAACTCTCCGACGCAGAGACGTCAGTAGTCCGATCTGCCCCTCAGCAAGGCGACCAGGCCAGAGCGCGTGTTTGGAGGCGAGCCTGGACCCGAGACGGGCTGCAAACCCGAGCACGGGGCAGCAGAGCTATTCTGAATGCTGATGAAGGCGGAGGGAGGAAGGCAGCTCTGAGGCCAGCAGCGGCAGACACACAGCAGAAGGCTCAGAGTGCAGAGATCAGCATTTTCACACTGCGTCCCGTGCGGAAGGCCGGACTGCTGAACGCGGGAGGGTTGCTCGGGAGCTGGCAGAGCGGACTGCTGACATAGAAGACCACCTCACTTCAAACACAAGTTGTTTGTATTTGCAAGAAGGCAGCGAGAACAGAGAAATCTTCTGAACAGAAATTTCAGGGTCTGTAATAGCAGTTGTCTCAATATAATATGATCTGGTATGAAACAGAGAGAGAAACTGGAAAAGCAATACAAAACCCAAAATCTACCCTAACAATCACTCGATAAGAAAGGTTGCTTTAATCACACCATTGGTCTACAAACAATCACACGGAGTTTTTCCTCATACTGAAGGACAGAGACTTATGAACAGACTTTCCGAAGGGATCTGACTTTGGCACAGAATCAATGGAAAGAACACTAGGACGAGAATATGAGAACTTGTTTGCCAAAACACACATGAAATCTCTGTATGCCTTTTTTTTTGGTGGGAAAATACAGAAAATGCTAGTACTAAATTCAAAAGAGGAGAGAACAGCCCCAGCCTGGCTTTTCCCAGAAGGTGGTACTTCAGGCCCGCTGAGCAGCTTCACTGGCCATGTGATGACATCTAGTGGCCCTGCCAGATGGACACCCCAAAGCTGGGCACCCCAAAGCCAGGCACCCTGGGATGGAAGAGCTGGAGCACCACGGGCACTCCTCGCACAGCCCTGGGCTCACCAACGGTACCTTTATCAACTGCCGCTCCCCTCCCTCAACCCCAGAGCAAACTACTCAAACTTCTCGTTATTCACAGAAAATGATAGTTATTGGAGCAGTTCAGACAAGCATGACTAGACTGGAAGATTTGTCATTCAGAGACAGCCAGCAGAGTCAAGAGAAAGCATGCAGCTGATGGAGAGTTCCACCCCCTACCATCACAGAATCACAGAATCCCAGCATGGCAGGGGTTGGCAGGGACCTCTGTGGGTCCCCCAGCCCAGCCCCCTGCCCAAGCAGGGTCACCCAGAGCAGGCTGCACAGCACCACGGCCAGGCGGGGCTGGAATATCTCCAGAGAAGGAGACTCCACAGCCTCCCTGGGCAGCCTGGGCCAGGGCTCCGTCACCCTCAGAGGGAAGAAGTTCTTCCTCGGGTTCAGCTGGAGCTTCCTCTGCTTCAGTTTGTGCCCGTTGCCAGACAGACTGTCCAGCTCACCTAGAAACGGATTCTACTGGGAAACCTCGGGACAACACTATTTTCAAAAAACTCTGCGTTTTGGATGCGGTTTTCAACATTATCTGTTACACTCTGAAGAATTTACCACAGACTACTGTCAGCTCTGAAAGGTTTTAGCAGACACAGCCGACAGACCTCAGTTTAAGAGCACAAGCAGCAGCCTCTAAAGGCTGAAAGACGAATCAACAAGGTGTTAGTGAGTCCCAGCACCCACTGCTATAACCACTACCCAAATCCTCCTCTGAGACCCACCCTCTTTAATCCCTGGCTTGGCCTAGGGCAGGGAGTTACGCTTCTTTCAGTTTAACTAAAAATGGACAGCCATCTTAACACACTGTGCACAGCATCCTCTCTCTGCCAGGCATGCTTTAATAACAGTATAAACATCTTGCGATATTTTTTTCCTGCAGACCTGCAAAAAAAATTTCGAAGTCCTCCTTCATCAACATCCTGGTTGCCATTTTATGGTCTGTTTTCTTCTCCCTTGCCAAAGCAGCTATGAAGCAGAGAAAGTAGGTGGGAATCTAGTGCTTCCACATCAATAAACTCTGGGGAAGAGACGGGGTCGTGAATCTTCCTAGGAAGAGCTCACACAGGACAGTCCTAGCTGTACTAAATGACAAATTCTCTCCTTGAAATTCCTCCTGCACTCCTCCTGGAAGTTTAATCCGTGTGTTAGAAATGACAGTACCTCCTCTCTCAAGCACTCGGAGTGGATGTGTTTGTTCCTCTGACTCACTAGCTGTCAAGTAACCTCAATTAGAAAACTAAGATACAAACTTGAAAGTAAATTTTTTTTTTCTTCCCTATGTATCAAAAATAGCACAGATCACTTTCAGGAAGGACTAGTTTTCTACCTGTGTAAGTGTAATTGTCATTTCTATTGCTAAATTTCCTAACTAGGTGATGCAGAAAATGACTTTATTTACCAAAATAATGTCTTTATTAGAGAACAACTAAATTGATTTCAAAACAACCCCAAAACCTTACATTTATTTTTGAGGACACTGGCCTCGCTGCAACTGATAAAAATATAGTCCATAAAGGGACGATGGCACAAACAGCACTCCCTGTCTGGCTCTCCTGACCTGGCCAGGGGATCAACTCTGCCTGCAAAGCACAGCACAAGCAGCAGCGAGCAAGCCGAGCGAAGGCTGCGCTCTCCCTGCCAGGAGCCCACGGGCATAACTGACCGGAGCAACGCACTCCCTCGACTCCTGCACTGCTCCCGAGCTGCCTGCACCCCTCAGCACAAGGCAGTCAGAATTCAGACCGACTGAGGCCTGTTCAGAACTGCTCCTCTGCCCTGCCACACAGGGTATAACGTCACTGGGCCGCAATGAACGACATCATCTTCGCTTTTACTGGGAAACGTCGGACTCCACCGCCTCTGCAGGACTGCTCCCAGGACACCAGTGACTGAGCACAAACGATCACGGAGGCTCCAATTCTGCAAACACTTGTGCACAAGCTAAATGCTGAGCAGAAATATCAATGGGATCAGCACTCAGGGCTGTTTAGAATGATTTCCATTCCACGCACGCACTGACCTTGTAGCACAGCTTTTACTTTGCTAAGTACTACCAACATTAACATTTTTCTTCCCTACAGGCCTGACTTAAGAAGTGTTCGCATTTTGTGAAATACTGAAAAGATTCAAGACCCAATTTTCCTAAGCCCTAAACTACCCGAGGCTCAAAGTCAAGGCAGGACGGACCTGAAGAGCTAAGCAGGTTTCAAAAACAGCGCCTGGACTTTGGATTTGTTTTGGGGAGGAAACCTGCGGAAGCAGGGGAAGGAGACCAAAAACTTGTCCTGCACCAACATCGCCAGGGCAGAAGCCAACAATGCTCTTACGACTTCATGATGCTCGTAACACTCTGCAGGCAAGTGGTGTTCCCCTCGAACTCAGGACCACCACAGAGTAAACGCAATCCCACGCTGAGAGAGGCACGAACGCCGGCTGCCCAGCAGCTGAAGCAACACAAGATTTACTCGCTATCTGTATTCCTCTTACTCCTCTGCCTTATTAAAGCAGTTCTCCTAGCCATTTGTCATCGTGCCTTCCCTACCGACACCCAGAAAGCAGCCTGCACTGGCTCTCTCCCACCGTACCCCCGACCCGGTGCGGAACAGGACACTACAGTTTTTGCCTTATTGATCTAACTTATGTTGGGAAATTGATTGAACTCCAAGTCACAAAAGGAAAGATCATTAACCTGCTCCAACTGGTAAGATTTATACTGATCCATTAAAGCAGTCAAAAAAAATTAACGCTAAGATTCAATATCATAATGGATCCAAGTCAGCACTACTTGTTCCCTACAAAATTAAAACATTACCAAATAAAAAGTAATCCATTTATCACTAGGAAACACCAAAGACAGAGTTCAAGCTAAAATTATGGAACCATAGAATTTCAATTCTTCAAATAAAATAAATTCAATCTAATAGTGATCATACAGAAGATTAGATCTTCATCACACAAAAACTCTCTCAAGAAACAAAGCTGTAAACTGAACTATGCTTCCTATCACTTATGAAGCCAAGAATCTCATTGACTTCAAGCTCCAAGTTCATTTCAGAGAAAAAGATGATAGCGTATTTGTCTCCCATAGACACAGGAATACCTACAAAATACCTAGCAAGCCACTGAGCTGCTTCTAATCAAAAGAAAGCAGAGAGATAACACGAGAAATCTCATGCATCTAATGTGGCAAGGGCTTACCAAGTCATGCTTATTCTGTTGTTCCTGTCTTTCAACAGGATGAGGAGATCAAAAATGAATTAAAAATGAACAGAAAAGCAGATGAGAAATCCAGGTGAAAGCACAGTACTCCATTACTTCTCTTATCCAGGAAAATTCACATTTGTGGTCCCTCAATACCTACGTTTTCCCCATCCAGTGACTTCACCAAGATAATTCTCTTGCAAGTTGACCATTACCACTGGACAAAATCTCTGTTCAGAATTTCCCCTGCACACATAGGGAGGATCTTGGAAGAAAATCTTCATGAGCATTATTTTCCCTGTAGAATCCTGACACATACGCTTAACTTCCTACATGTTGGAAGAGACTGTAACTTACAGAGCAGCTAACCAGAAGCAAAACCAAAATAAACTTACACAACCCCAACACACCACCTGAGCACACAGCAACCTCCAGCCAGGAATTTGAAGGATCTTCCTAAAAACGTAAATGTTCATTTCTGACAACATTTCTGTGACACCACAATTTTTTTTGCTCAGTCCTCACACTGCTCCTTGCTCTACTCTTCTACAAGGACTCCTGACATGGTCAAAGTCACATCTGCCTTTCCAAACCAGAGATTGTATTAATAAAATTACAGTATACCTTGCAGAATTAAAGCTCTTTACTAGTTCATCTAATGTCCGGTTATTTTTCAGGTCAGATTCCGAGACTGCCTATTAAAAAAAGAAAGACAGACAAGGGGAGAAAAAAAGAAAGAAAAATAACACACATTCAAATGCAGTGAAAACAAATACCCAGAAAACATTCAAGTGATCGATAATTTATTTCTTGGATCAATGCCTCAGCCATCCCCCACTAAATTGCTATGTGAATGAAGATGCATAAAGTGTAAACATTTTTTCATGAAAAATATCTCAAACTAAAATAACTGCCCAAGAACTGTAAATCTGGGAAATAATAGGTAATAGACAGAAATGAAGCATAAAGCTAAAGCAGCAAAATCCAGCGTACCCAGTCTTCAACAATGCTTTATTGTAGCCCGGTTCTCATTATTCTGAAAACCAAACCAAGGATCCCATGAACGTGATAAGAACCTTAAGCAACAAGGCATGAAAACCGATGAAGGGAAATGTTAATCTTTTGAATGATTATGGAACGAAAATAGGAATTATGAGATGGCTTTGTACATTCAAGTCATTCTTTTTAAACAATCTCTGATTTTTATTTCGCTGGCTGTCTCTCTCTGCTCTTCTTTTTTACAAAGATTTTATTAGTCTTGCTCATATCAATACCTGTGATTTTTACGAAGGCAGCAGTAAAATGTACTCCATCAAGTAGTCTGCACTTGTTTGAATGTTTAAAAACTGGCAAAGCTACAAATAGATCTGTTCTCCAGTCTTGAAAAGTCCAGTCTGGTTCACGCTTTAGAAACACAGAGGAAAATCACTTCCATTTTGCCAATATTCCTGAAGCACCATTTATTGTTTTTAGGCAGCCTACCATTTTCAGGAGTTCAATAAAGCCCAATAGGCTTAAGATTAAATGTTAGATTAAGACCTAGAATAAACTGCACTCTGTGTTCTTTAATCAAAAAACACCTTCAACTCAGATCATAATAATCACCCACCTGCAGAGCAGGCTGAACCTGCCTCTGGTGCTTTTCACATTCAGCTGAATTCTCATGGCAAACACCTCCTCTCCCTGGTGCGTAACATAGTCCCCTCACCCCCAAAAAGGCTACACAGTAGAGTCAGGGAGTTTCAGGACTAGCTGGTCTGGGGACATTTCTAAAGACTCCCTGAAAGACGAAGCAAGACCACCCAAGCACAGAAAATTTAAGTGCTTAAATTTCAGCACTCATGTTTTAAATAACCTCCCTGGCAGTGTTCAAGGCCAGGTTGGATGGAGCTCTGAGCAGCCTGGTCTGGTGGAAGATGTCCCTGCTCATGGCAGGGGGTTGGAACCAGATGATCTTTAAGGTCCTCTCCAACCCAAACCTTTCCATGATTCTATGAAATGACAGTGTGCTTTAACAAATGAGGAGGCAACGTTCAATGTTTCACAACAGATTATATACACAGCTCTGAGCCAAAACCCAGTTTTGATGTTCCATCTACTTCTGCCTATGCTGACAGAAGTGTAGCTCTGAAATAGGAGAATTCCAGTTGTAAGAGCACTCCACTTTGCCCAAAGAGCTGCTGACCAAGAGGAAAGGTGGCAATATATGACCTGAATTAATTATTTTGCACAGTCCAAAGGGAAACAGTCCTGAGATTCGCCAAAGAATAAACAAAAAAACAAGCTGAGGAAAAGCAAAACACTTACCACACAGCACGTTGGACACTGAGTTTTGTAGGACAAAAACTTGCGTATACAAAGGGAACAATCTGGAAAAAGGAAATACGTTATTTTTAGACAGACATTCTTCCAACCGCAGTTCAGCATCCTTAGTAGTATATTTTCGTTTTGTGCAATGTATGCAAACTATTCCACAACAGACCAATATTGAAAGTACACCTTTTTTCCACAGAATTAATAATACCACTGTAGCAAAACAAATCTGTATTTTATGCAAGCACCTTTCAACACTTAATCTCAGTCCCTCTGTCTAAAGCAGTTGTTTACTTTTGCTTCTTTAATGCAAGAGAAGAAAACCTTAGTCTGCTACCACTACTAAACGCCGTGTGTTTGCACTGCTCGCTCCCCCACCACCGCTTTTTTTGTGGTGACTAATGTTAGATTGCTTTCAACTTCCTGCAGAGCCCCAGACAAACTCTCTATCCCCTCTTTTTCCCCAGGTGCTTCTTCCCCTTTCCAAAACAATGCCAACCTGTCCTTGAGGAGAGAAGGCTAAAAAGGACGGGAAACAGCACTGAACACTGAGAGGCAGCTTAAATGTTTCCCAGGAAAAGCAAGACGTATCATCATCACAGGCTGCTTCAGTAGACTCCTTGCTGAAATATGCCATGAGCTTCATTTTGTCACAGTAAATCCCTGAAATTATCCTACTTTCTCTACTTATCTATAAGCTTTCATAACCACTTCAATATATAAAAAGTTTCATCACTCTCCAGCAAAAGACATCCACTTATGAGATCATTATCGGGCAGTCTCAGCACTTCACCCATTCAGCAACAGCTACCTAAGCAGATGGGTTTCAAAGACTCTCTGTGAGGGAGTCCGAAAAGCAGCAGGAACATTAATGCACTCATTCAACACTTAAAACTGCAAATCCATCCAAATACTCAAAAATTACATTATGTAGTAAGATATGATATGGGGGAAGGAATCCATCAAAAAAAAAAGAAACAAATTTTAACTGCATGAACATGAATCAGCTTACAGATCCAGCCTGCCAACATCCGACAGCCAGCCACCTTCAGTGAGCAACGCGGCCTATGTTTGCAGCCTCCACTGCTCACAGCCAGGGCAGCTGAAGCATGTTCAAGGACAATAAATCACACAAGCCCTTAGTCTTAACGTCCATGCCTAGGGGTGGCTCTGGGCCCATGCAGAGAGGACAACAGCCTCACCATTCTCTGTCCCCAGCCCCTTCCCTCCCGCTCGCCTACTCTTCCTACGGGAGAAACAGCCCCACCATGGCTCAGGTCTCAGCCTGCCACCCCTGGGGTAACAAAACAGGTCTCTGTCTGGTGTAGATGGCACGTACACCAAGAATTAAATGGTGCCACAAAGTTCACTTCCATCAGCACCAACAGACCAAACCCACCCGTAAAACCACGTCTACCCAACTCATTATAAGACTCAGCTGCAGCACTGTATTTCAGGATGCAGGAGAGAATCCCAAAGTATGAATTTAGGCTGACAACCATGACTGGATGCTTAATGACAATGACACAACAAAAGTATACAAGTCACTGCCAGCAAATAACCATCTCTGTTGGGTTTAAACTGGAGGTAGCAAGGTTGTGATAAGAAAGAGGAATAAGACAAGCTTGACACGAGAAAAGCCAGCAGTGCCAAAACTGAGACACCACACATCGAAGACCACAGGTGGTTTTTCAAGAAAGCAAGCCACTCTGAAACCTGCTAGGCTGGCAGCATAGTAGTGATTTCAATGCAGATTTAAAGAAAGGAAAATCCTGCCTGACAAGAAAGATCTCCCTCCAACAGCTACAGCAACTTCTGTATGAATAAGTCAAATGGACCCAGGCTCCCGTGCCCACCTTCCAAGCTATGCTGGCCCCAGGCCAGGGCTGCACAGCCGCACTCACTGAGCTGTGCTTGGGATACAGCCGCGGACCGCGGCACGG